TCTTGCCCTGGGTGGGGAACCGCATGCGGGCTGTGCCACTGGGACCTTCGGTGGAGCTCCCTATGGGGCTACGAAACGCTGCCCTGGGTGGGGGAACCGCATGCGAACACCCCCACTGGGGCCTTCGGTGGAGCTCCCTATGGGGCTACGAAACGCTGCCCTGGGAGGGGGAACCGCATGCGAACACCCCCACTGGGGCCTTCGGTGGAGCTCCCTATGGGGCCACGAAACGCTGCCCTGGGTTGGGGAACCGCATGCGAACACCCCCACTGGGGCCTTCGGTGGAGCTCCCTATGGGGCTACGAAACGCTGCCCTTGGTGGGGGAACCGCATGCGAACACCCCCACTGGGGCCTTCGGTGGAGCTCCCTATGGGGCCAACGAAACGCTGCCCTGGGTGGGGGAACCGCATGCGGGCTGTGCCACTGGGACCTTCGGTGGAGCTCCCTAGGGGGCTACGAAACGCTGCCCTGGGTGGAGGAACCGCATGCGGGCTGTGCCACTGGGACCTTCGGTGGAGCTCCCTATGGGGCTACGAAACGTGTGAGGGGTGTGCCGAGAGCAGAGGCAAGGAGGGGGAGGAGGGAGGTGGGCGAGGAGGGGGAGGAGGAGAGGAGGTGGGACGCGGGGCGCTGTCTTTTCAAAACGAGGACCCAACACCACAGGATGGTTGGGAAATATACACTTTTCGGGACCGAAGGGCGCCTTTGGGTGGCCTCAAGGGCCCCTTGTCTGCAACTGTCGCTGCCCACCCATCCATCGCCCCCCCAATACGCGACGCCAAAAATCGCATTGGCTCGGGCCGGCCGGAGCCGACATCGAACCGGGTCGATCGGATCGGAATGGGCCCTGCGCTGGAGGGACTGGAGGCGAGAGGGAGGGGCACAGCTGACCGACGGAAAGAAATGGGCCCTACGCAAGATAACATACAATCGAAACTGATCGTGGAGATGCGTGGCCCCGGCCCTCACGCGGACCTCCGACGTGAAGAGAGCGCCTCGGCCCCGTGGTCCAGAGCGCCCGACCCTGGCCCCAGTGCACGGCTCCGCGCGGCAGGCGGGCTCCCGCTGATCCCGGGGCCCGACGCGGGGCGTGAGAAAGGCAGCCTGTCACCATCCGATGTGCGCCTCAAGAGCGGCGAACATACCCGCACGGCCAAAACTGACAGTAGGGATGCACGGTAAGGATGCAGGCCCCTTGGACGCCCGTGTTGACGCTTTTTCGAGGGCGGCGGGCCATCGAGAGTGGCTTCAGGATGGACCGAAGGGGCAAGGATGCAAGCGTGCCCTCGGGAAGGTTGCCCATCCTTGCCATCGGTTCCGACCGTAGGCAAGATGACATAGGAGCCTTACGCCGCGGCTCACGCTGCAGCTGCCAGAAGGCGAGCGAGAGCCCCAGCAGGGCTCTCCGAGGCCGAGGCGCCGAACACAACAGACTTGGACAAGGCCATGATCGGCGGCGCGCCGAGGGGGGAAATGAGAGGGAGAAGGCCTGATCAGAAGGCGGCGGGGCTTCTCAGAACCCCCCATCCAGCTTTCTGAGCGTCTCCTGCGTCTCCGGAGAAGGCTTCAGAACACTTAGCAGAGGGCCGAAGGTATTCCGAGCCTTCTGAGAAGACCCGCGCCTTCTCACTTCGCCTCCTGTGATCAACCAAAAAATACAGCTAACCCTTTGGGAGGGGACCTGAAATAGGAAGGCCCAAAACAATAGGGATACGGGTCTTTCCTGCAGATGTATCAGACCAGACCGCCCAGATGTATTATCACTAATGCGCAGACGGGGACCTCAGTGAGGTCACGTCTTCATCGTGTTATCAAGCTTAGGGGTTCTTTTGTTATCGATGACCCTGGGCTCGCCGCCGACATCAGGGGCTCGCGTGTCGACGCTTTCCGCACGG